CCCAAAACCCCAAAACCCCAAAACCCCAAAACCCCAAAACCCCAAAACCCCAAAACCCCTTCAGTTTGCTTTAAAATTGATAATATATTTTTGACAATTTAAAATGAATCTGCACGAAGAGTTTGACCTTCCCCCTCCCAAAGCAATCAGTGAAGGAGGAAGTATCCCTGATTACGACAAAGCATACTATATTAGCGAGCAGCTGGATGAAAGATCATATGAAAATAATTAGCACTGACGGGCCAGATTACGATGAACACTTATTAATGATGGCTTTTAATAATCTTGATAATGATCAGATACTAGAGTTTATAGATGAGCAAGAGGACTGGAAGGGAATCAAGCTCTCAGAAGATAGAGAGTCCTTGTTACATATTGGAATTTACTCCAGTAATTACAATATTTGTAAATCACTTTTAAAAAGAAAGGCAGACATAGATGCTAAAAACAAAGAAGGGCATACTCCACTTCATTCTGCTTGTATTCAGAAAGCAAACTGCAAGTATATTGCACTCCTTATGAATCACGGTGCAGATCCAACTTTGAGAGATAATTGTGGTAAAACCCCGCTTCATTACATAAGGTGTTTGGCCTCCCTAAATGTTATCCTTAAGGAGTACAATAAGAATGAAGATACAAACAAGGTTGAGTTGCTTAATATGGATGATAAAAATGGGAATACTCCTCTCACGGATTGAATTCTTGAGGAAGAAAAGACCAATTCAAAATCTCAAATCCTCAAAGAAATGATTAAAAAGGATGCTGACTTTTCTATCCAAAATAATAAAGGTGACAATGCCTTGCATATATGTGCCAGGCAATGTAATTCCAAAATTCTAGGAGTCATAGTACTCAAAATGCTGAATGATGAGCTTAATGGAAAATCTATTGGTTTGAGCATGATGACATCCCAGGCAGTACTTAAATTACAGAACAACCAGAATGCAGATGCTTTAACGGAATCTATTCATTCAAAATCTAAAGACTGTATAAGTATTTTAGTTGATATTGGAGGAATGAAAATTACAAAGGCTCATCTCGCTGCTGCCAAGAGTTACATTAATGATTCCAGCAAGATTTATAACCTTTTAAAAAGACGTTATCAGGCACAAGAAGGTAAAGATTTGAATAATATAACATAGGTGAGAAAGAGATCGAGAAGAATGGAAAATATAGTCGAAATCACCTAAATGGTCTCAAATCTACGGATGAAGTTAGAGGAAAAGTAACAGATTATTTTCTAAAAACTAAAATTGGAAGTCAGAGAGATCTCCTCTCAACTTCTGATGATCTTAATCTTGAAGAAGCTAAAGTCACCGGAAAACTCAAGAATACTCTGGAAAAACTTACGGTGGAGCGGGATATGATCAGAGATGATAGGGATAAACTTCTACAGCTTCTAGATCAAAATGATGACTGAGGATTCAAACTTGAAGAGAGTGATGTTGAGTTAAAAGATCAGATAGGATGGGGAGCTTATGCTGTAGTGTACAAAGGAAATTACTATGGAATAGACGTTGCTGTCAAGAAGTTCAATAAGACAGATGAAAAATCTCTAAGAATATATGCGAATGAAGTAAAAATTCTAAAGTCATGACACCATCCTGGAATCTTAAGACTTATCGGTTATTTCGAAACTTCTGATTCTTACAATATTGTGAGCGAACTGCATCCATGTGGTAATCTCTCAGAGCTCATTCACGGTAACATCCCCTTCAAGCTCAAAAGAAAGTTCGGAGTGGCCATCGAAGTCGCCAAAGCCATGAACTACCTTCACTATCGCAAAAGACCAGTCCTTCACAGAGACCTCAAGAGCGAGAATGTCTTGATCGACAAGTCGTTGAGGGTCCGCCTGTGTGATTTCGGGATCTCCAAGATGGCCGAAGTCGATGAAGTTGAGCAAGACATGGAGTCGCCTCTGAACATCAATCACCAAACCAAGACTATCGGAACTGTTTCATGGATGGCACCTGAGTTCATCAATGACAAAGTCTTTGATAAATAAGAGCGATGTGTACTCATTTGGGATATTGCTGTGGGAGATAATGACAAGAGGAAAGCTGTACCCTGACCTACAACCACCACAGATCGCTTACTGAGTAGCTAATACTAATTTACGACCTGACATTCCTAAAGGAATGAATTTACAGCTATAGCAGAGCTAATAGAAAGCTGCTGGGATGAAGACCCTGATAAAAGACCAACTTACAAAGAGATTCTAGAGAAATTAATTATACTGGAGGATGAATTAGTGTTTAAATAAGATGATTTTCAATTAGAATTCGAAAAAATGGGGTTTTGGGGTTTTGGGGTTTTGGGGTTTTGGGGTTGTGGGG